GTGCCAGTGGGAGACCAGAGGGCATGCAGACTAGGCTACATGTGGCCTTCCGGTTCTGGGGCACCCCCAGCAGCAGGGCCCCTGCAGCCTACTTGTATTTATCAAGTCATTGCCATGTAGCTATTTATACCAAGTCCCATCTTGAGTTTCCGGTGTCCACTGACTCCTGAAGGTCAAGTGGGTTCTGAAGTAGGCCAAGGAAGTCTCTGGTCAACCAAGAGCTGACCCCAGGGGAACCGCTGGAAATATAGGACTCCCACACACATACACCCAGGGCTAGGAAGCAAATTATTAAATTAATCCTCGTCTTCTTTTTCCTGGAACCAGAGGATCATGGGGAGCAGGACAACAGCAGAGTTGGATACTGTCTGCTCCCTGGCTCCTGCCCCAGCCATGAAACAAATGTGACCTTAAACAAAGGCCCACATGGTGCCAGCCAGGACAGTCAAGCAAAACCAACCAAAGCACTCAAGAACTCTGAGACACCATCCCCAAAGCCCTGAGGGTGTGCTGAGGAGACTGGCTTCGAGGCAGTCAGCCTCTCCTGCTCAGGGGCTGGGAATCTGATTTATCTCTACAGGAACTCTATGCTTGACCTCCCTCTGGGAAGTCTGACGGGGGCATCACATCAAGGCACACCGGCCAGACAAACCAGTCCCAGCCTCCTTTGTGGCTGCCTGCCAGGCTGAGGGAGCGACTCTTGGTTCCGAGTTGTTCCCACTCCTGCAAAGCTGCCCCTTCCAGCATTTCCCTGGCTCCTCAGGGTGGCCTACTGACTAACTGAGAAAAGATCTTACTATGTAGCACAGGCTGGCCTTGAATCATGGATGATCCTCTTCAGCCTCCTGAGTGGAAGACCCTGCTGGAGGCCCAAACTCAGGTGCCCTTGTGCCTGCACTTTACCAGCTAAGCCATATATATCCTCAACCTCTCACTGGATTTTTTATTTTTATATACATTTTCTTTTGTGTGGGCGGGGCCTGCATGCCACAGCTCAAGTGTGAAGGTCCGAGGATAGGGAGCGGTAGCTGGTTCTCTCTCTCTCTCTCTTTTTTTAACCACGCGGGTCCCAAGAACCAGGCTCAGGTACCAGGTACCTTCTACTCCATCTAGCTGGCCTCTCCATACAGGATTGCGTTGCTGCAGAGAGTTTTTCGCACTACGTAGCTGTAAAGACTGTTGGTGGCTGTCAAGCTCTTGGTTGACTTTATCTGGAATTAACTAAAACCCAAAAATGGAGTCCACATCTATGAGGCTTTTTGCTTATTTGGACATGGGAAGGTCTACTTCTTCTTCTTCTTCTTTTTTTTTTTTTTAAAAAGGATTTATTTATTTATCATGTATACAGCATTCTGCTTGCATGTGTCCCTGCAGGCCAGAAGAGGGCACCAGATCTTATTACAGATCTGGGAGCCACCTTGTAGTTGCTGGGAATTGAACTCAGAAGCTCTGGAAGGTCAGTGCTCTTAACCTCTGAGCCACCTCTCCAGCCCCAGAAAGATCTACTTCTTTTTTTTTTTTTTTAAATATTTATTTATTATGTATACGATATTCTGTCTGTGTGTATATCTGCAGGCCAGAAGAGGGCACCAGACCTCATTCCAGATGGTTGTGAGCCACCATGTGGTTGCCGGGAATTGAACTCAGGACCTTTGGAAGAGCAGGCAATGCTCTTAACCACTGAGCCATCTCTCCAGCCCCCAGAAAGATCTACTTCTAATCCAGATCTTTGAGGTGGAAAAACACAACTTCAGCAGAGCGGTGGTGGCGCACGCCTTTAATTCCAGCACTCAGGAGGCAGAGGCAGGTGGATCTCTGTGAGTTCGAGTTTAGCCTGGTCTACAAGAGCTAGCTCCAGGGGCTGGAGAGATGGCTCAATGGTTAAGAGCACTGGTTGTTCTTCCAGTGGACCCAGGTTCAATTCCCAGCACCCATATGACAGCTCACAACTGTAACTCCAGTTCCCTGGGATCTGACACCTTTACACCAATGCACATAAAATAAAGTTAAAATAAATTATTAAAAAAACTCAAAAAAAAAAAAAAAGAGCTAGTTCCAGGACCGGCTCCAAAAACTTCAATTCAGATCTTTTCAGGTGGGAAGCGCCACCTCTAATCTGGGTCACACCTTCCGCTGGGACTCTATATAAAGAAATGGAAGAAGGAAGCTTTTACTCTTTGCCAGCTTGCTGTCAACCTTGCGAGCAAATCCATTCTTTCACTGGTACTAGAGCCTATGACGTCAGGACTCCAGCATATATTGTCACCAGCTGAGACATCCAGCCTCATGGACTGAGCAACTGCTGGATTCTCGGGCTTCCCTTCATAGACAGCCTTTGTTGGATTAGCTGGACCATAGCCTGTAAGTCATTCTAATAGATCCCCTTTCTATATAGAAAGACATTCATTCTATAAGTTCTGTTCATCTAGAGAACCCTGATACAGTAGCCTTGGCTAGATTAGAACTATGTAGACCAGGTTGGACTTGAACTTGTAAGAAACCAGTCTGCCTCTGCCTCCTGAGTACTGGGATTAAAGATGCAAGATATATATATTCCATCCAGCTTTACAGGATTAAAAACACTTTAGAGTGTGTGTGTGTGTGTGTGTGTGTGTGTGTGTGTGTGTGTGTGCCTGTGTAAGATAGAAGAGGGCACTGGATCCTGGAGCTGGAGATACAGGTGGTCATGAGCTTCCAGACACGGGTACTGGGATCCAAACTTAGGTCTTCTGAAAGAGTAGGGAGCGCTCTTAACTGCTGAACCATTTCTCTGCCCCCTAGGATATTTTTTTTTAATTCTAAAAAGTCCATTTCAAACAAGTGGAGCCACCGTTGCCTTTCACAAGACATGCGTCCCTAGAGAAGGAAGACACTGTTAGCCAGTAAGGCCCTACTTCCAAATGTCATCACCTGGGGGCTAGGATTTCTACCTGGAACCACGGGGAGAGGACATTCAGACCACAGTGGTGTGCCAATCAGCACCTTAAGAGAGAACTGGGGAGAGTCCAAGTTCAGAGCTAGGTTAGAGGAAGGGCTCCCCAGAAGGAGCAGCCTGCACGAAGGCCCTGAGGCAGGAACAAGTTTGGCGTGTGAAATCCGAGCTGAGCAGAAGGCTGGAAGTTGAGTGGGTGCAGCCATGTCATTATGGTCCTCCTGTGTCCTTGGCATTGAGCATGGATTTCATATCAAGTAAGACAGCCCCTTCTGTCACTTGGTGTACAGGTTCCAGGGTAGGGAGATCAAAGGACATGATGCTTCTTTTTGTCCACTGTCTGTTCTGTTTCTACACTGGACCTGTCTTATGTAAGAACTCAGGAAAGACATTTCCAAACAAAACATGTCACTGTGGGCAGTGACGGTTCCTTCCCCACACCGCCTCTCTGCTACTGTGTGCTCTTCGGCTGGAATCCTCAGAGCTAAACAGACCCCACTCCCTCTGGAGCAGAGTTTGAAGAAGTAGATACCTTCCTGCTGTCATTTTATCCTGGTAAAATGCAAAAAAACAATAAAACAATACAGCCCCAAGATGTGGGCACCCTGGTGCTCTTTCTGGTCTCTTCCCAGCTAACTACCAAGGTCAAGTATTTGGACCCATCTTGTCTTCTGACCCAGATCACCAAAGGCCTGTGCAAAGGGCTCTCAGCAAGATTGCTGTCTCCCCTATCAGTGCCTGCCCCTCAAGGTGCAGACCAGTGGGCCTTGAGGACACACTCGGCCCCACAGGACAGATCCTCACCTACCTAGGGCAGCATGAAACCTCAGCTTAGCCTTCCATTCCCTCACACATTTCGTCCCCAAACCTAATGGTTCCAGATATAATACCAGCCCCCCCTCAACTGGCCTACCCATGCTCTGCCTACAAGGTACCTAGAGGACAGCACACAGAGTCCCACTGGATTCCTACAGGGGCTGACCCTGGGCTCTCCCTCCAATGGTTCTGAAGCTCAGCTATGGAGTACCTGATGTGTACCAGGCTTCCGGGCCCTTCCCCAGCACTCCCAGAGGGTCAGAGCGCCACACAACCAAGGCCAGGAATGACATCCATGTAAAGGCAGGCTCTCCCGAGTTCCTACCCATCCTCTGGCTTTTTGATGCATGTTCTCTTAAAAACAAAACAACAGCGGTAGAGAAATGAGGCTCAGCAAGTTGCACACCTGCCTGTCAAGCATGTGTGAGGCCCTGAGTTTCACCTCCGGAGAAAGAAAAGGAAACAAGATGTCATATTGCACACCGGTAGCCTGGGTGCTCAGGAGGCTGGGGCAGGAAGGGTGCAAGATCTAGACCAACCTGGGCTACGTAGCAAGATCCCATCTCAAAAAGAAAAAAAGCCACAAGCAGGATGGGCTCTTCTTGTCTCGTCGGTTGCCCTCTAGTCTCCTAGAACCCAAAGTCAGAGGTGAAGGTATAGACATAAGAGCTTTACCGCCTGGGCCTCCAGGGCATTCTTGGGACTATGTCCCTGTATGAGGACTGTTGGATTTAACAGCATGGGCCTCAGGAGGGGCCCTATATTCACCCCAGTTCCAGTGTGGACTTCCTTCTCCCTCTCACCGCCTGCCTCCCAAAGGCACCCAGATGGCTCAGAGGCTGTGGAAATCAAACCCAGGCCTCCAGACCCCTAAGTTCAGGGCCCAGTAGCCACCACAAGCACTGGACTAGGAGTCAGCAGGCCTGGACTTGGATGTCGGCTTCGGGAAGGGTCCATTCAAGGATAAACACCACCCCCAAGGTCCCTGCTCCAGGCTTCACTGGAACTTTTTAAGACCTGCACTCCATTGGACCTGCCACCCATCAACTCCTGCCCAGTTCCCAGAGGGTATAGGTAAGAGCAGTCTGCTGGTGACCACAAGAGGCAGTTACAGAGCTCTCGGCTCAGGAGAGTTACGACTTACAGAGGCCCTGGGAGTTGTAATTGTGTCCATCACTGGGACCTGATTTAAGACTCCTTGCTGTTGTAAATATTAGGGGCAGCTACACGTAGGGTTCTTACCCTACCTTACCCTTAGTGCTCTCCAAGCCAGCGGCACCTGCGTGCTCCTTGCTCTTCAGCAAGCTCACCCTGTCCCAAGGCCCAGCGCTGCATGGGGTTTGCTCCCATCTAGTCTGCTGCCGGCTCCCAGCCCTGTCCGGCAGCATCCCTCTCTCCACAACCTTCAGTGGCTCCCAGGAACACCTCAGGGCTTGGTGGCACCCTTCCATCCTTGGGTCCCTTGTGTTTGAAAAGTTCGTCTCGGCGTCATCCAAATCCAAGTCTCTGGCCCTGCCGGGGCGCGCTCGGAACTCCAGACTCTCAGCTCGTCCGCTTAAGGAGACCCGGGGGTCTTGGAGGCCTCTCCAGGTGGGGAGCCATTCTCGAACTTTCACAACTAGCGGCGTCCAATCCCGCAGGCCTTAGAGAGTCAAGACGTTCCACGCGTGCTCGCCAAAGTGTCCCCATGACATTGGCAAGGACGAAGAGGTTGAGCAGCTGAGTCGAATCCAAACACCGTGAGGGGCCCCAGGGCCGAAGCAAGGCGAGCGCCGCTCCTCGCGGAGTGCAGTTGGAAGGTTACCTGCTCCAGAGCGCAGTGTACCCACTGCACTGCCCCTGCCCCGGGCCGCGCGGGCGGGCCCGAGAAGCACAGTCTTTGTCTGCTGTGCCCCATGATATCCCCGCCCACTGTGTCCGAGGCCACACCCTTCAGGAGCTCCCAACCAGTAAAATTTGGCGGCGACACCCAGGGCACGGGGTGTTGTCCGTGCCTGGTGTACCCATTGGTTGCGTTCTGCACCGGGGGCTGCGGCCGGCAGGGCGGGGCGCACGGCGAGAGGTGATACCCCGCGTGCTGGACGCAGGGGGAGAGCTTTCCTAAGAGTCATCACCCAGCCGCCACCCGGACCAGGCTTGCTGGACAGTCGGAGCCCCGACGGCCCGGGGGCCATAAGAGTAGTAGGACTCAGGCGGCTCGCGGGGCCGGGCCATGGCGCTCGACTTCCTGGCTGGATGCGCTGGAGGTAAGGAGACTCCACGCAAGCCAGGCTTCGTAGCCTGCCTGGTGCTCGAGGACAAGTGTCTTCTCGGCTCTCCGTGTGGTGTGCACTGGGTGCTAGGTATCCCGATGACACCGCGACTTAGCCAGAGGCAGGGACAGATCGGAGGATGCGGGCACGCAGCCTGCGGATTCTTCCCTCCTAGCAGCTGTCCAAGCTCGGTGGTGACACCGAGCGACCTCCTAGAGGGCTGGCCTGACCCTAGGCGCCCCGTTCTTCCCAGGTGGTGCTTTGAGCTGCTGGAGGGCGCAGAAGAGGAGGAGGCGGTCCACCGGGTGATCAGGTCAGCCCGACTCAGGAATGCTTGAGGCGGAGAGCAGATTAGGTTTGTCCATGAAGCGACGGTGCGAACCTGTTGAACCCTTAGTGCCTTTTCTTGTACCTAGAGGTGTAGTTTATTTAGTAAGTATTAAGTACAGAGTCTGGATCCATTGGGATTCCAGGTAAATTTTCCGAGATGGCAGTGGTCTGGCTGGTTATGTCAAGGCTGAGTTCAGCCCTGAGGCTCAGGCCTGGCTCACCCACCTGTCCTACTGCCTTCTTCAGCTACCGTCATAGCTCTACCCGGAAAGGTCTCACCTGGAACAGTGATTGACTGCCTTTGGCCTTAGGTGCTTAATCCGTGCTTGTGTCTCCCTCCCTGGGTGGAGAAGGCTGGTCTGTCAGGATACCTTCCCAAGGCAGTGATGTGCCCACAAAGTGCTTGAGAGCCATCAGGCTGTTACCCAGTCTTTCCTTTGTGAGCCGTGGGAGGGGGATGAAGCCCAGGGATTTCTAAAAGTTGGTGAGGAATTAGAGGCCCAGAAGGGGTCCCATCTTAGCCCCTACCTGTGTGTTGGGGGGGGGAAGACCCCCTTTTATGGCCAAAGGCCCTTATGTTGTTGCAGTCTTCCCAGGGCCAGGGTTCCCTCTGTGGCTGCACCCTACTCAGTACAGTTGGCCCCGGGGAGCATCTAGTCACCCCTTGACCAGGCTTGCTTAGAGACCCAGACCACCCCCATGATTCAGCCACCCCTTCCCTTGGACTTTGGCTCAAGAAGGCTTTTCTTACCTGCGATGCCCATTTATCTTCACCCAGCCTATCTCAAGGGTATCATGTGCCCTACGTCCAGCCCTAGTCTGCATTCCCACCCAGGGTACATAGAGAGTGCCCAACTAAAGGGAAGTGATACAGGGTAGGGCTGAGATGGAGTTCACCTGCAGAACCTCTTCTGGACTCAGTCAGTAAGGGAAGAAATGATGGGGTTGTAGCCTCAGGCTCAGTCTCTCTGAAGGGATGGGGCTGCAGGGGGGAGGGGACAGACAATGGGTCTGATTGTGTCCTAGGCAGGCCTTCCGGATTCCCATCACAGATGCTCAGTAGAGGACCTGACCTTCTAAAGCAGGGGATCTGACCTTCTAAAGTGCCTGCCTGGGACAGGTGGTGGTGGGGCCTCTCTTCCCGAGGAAGACCCGCATGTGGGTGTGCCTGAGTGCCCCAGCACACATCCTATCCTGCCTTCAGTCTCTGTGGGAGACAGGGCAAATATCTTGGCTAATGGTTGGCTTCTACCTACTCCCTCCTGTGTAAGGATGGTTCTCAAATCTTGAGGACACAGTGGCCCCTGGGTTCTGGATAGGGTATGGACCAGTATGACAGAGAAGTACCAGGTCAGCAGGCAGTGTCTGTGTGGAGGGAAGAGACCTGTCATCTCTGCCAGAACTGTGCTGCCAGGTGTCCCTTCCTGTCCTCGGAAGCTCGTGGTATCAGATTTGCCCTGGCTTTGGATTTGGGGTATCCTCTCAGAGGTGGTCAGGCAGGGCTACCTGACTCTCAAAGGGACTGTGAGGTCAAAAGGATATGGGTAGGGAGTGGGGGTGCCAAGACCTGCCAGCTTGGGACTCTCCTGGGGCTTCCCAGCAGAAGGGGTAGGTAAGAGGCTTCATAGTCTCTGCAATATCTTGGAAGTGGCAAAGACTGTTGTTGGCACCTGTGAGCAGCTGCCCACAACTGGGCTTTCTGCTGGCACCAGGGGACCCTTGGAGGAAGAGGGAGGAAGGCTAACAGGGTTTCCCAGATGCCCAGCATACCAGCCGTGGGTGCTAAGCCTTCCGAAGCCTTACTAAGAGATTCAGATTAGCCTGAGAAAAGAAGTCCGGAAGTAGGATTTGCAAATACAAAACATGGTAAGCAGGGGGTTGGACCACTGGACTCTGTGAGTCCTGGTTTTGCCCCAGCAACCACTAACCAGGAAGTTAAAAGCAGGTGAGAGCTGATGTCCAAAGGGAGGAAACAAGGTCCCACCCCTAGAAATAGGATGTGAGGGTCTCCAGGAGAAAAGAGCCTGCCTGGAAATGGTGGCGAGGGGCAAGAGATTATAGTGGAAATTTCCCCGGCTTGGAACTGAATGAATCTGCAGCTCGAGGGCTGCTGGAGTGCCAAACCGGGTTGCTTTAAAGAAACAGGCACACCCTTGGCATCCCCTGGCGACATTCCTAAAATCCACTCGTGAAGTCTCCAAGGTGTCCTCATAGAACAACGAGGAAAGGGTTAGCAGGCTTACCAGCCCCAGCACTGAATGTGGTCTAGCAGACTCCCAGGGAAGAGGACTCGTGAGAAAGTGGCAGTGATGGGGGCTGGGGTGGATGGGGCTCAGGGGTTGCTCACCTTTTCTCCTATGCAAAGATTGGAGTGTTACTAGACAGTGTTTGACTGAACTAAAAGTGCTGAACACTGAGAGAGCAGATCTAAGGGAATCTAGATGTGGTAGCACACTTGCAGAGACAGGCTCTCTGAGAATTTGAAACCAGCCTGGTCTAAATAGGGACATCCAGGCCACCCAGGGTCACATGGTGAGACCTTGTCCCAAAAAGAAAAAACATTTTTTTTTCTTAAGAACAGAAGCATGAAACATGGTGGACATTACTGAAGGGTGCAAGGCAGAGTCTGGGCACAGATGTCACCCGTTAGTGTCTCCCGGCAGGTTCTGTGACCAGTCCTGTCTGGCTAGGACCAGAGCAGGGCTAAAGTTCCCATTGTAACACTTAACTGGCCACACACCACAGGTGTACTGCTTTGAGAATTTCAGTTCTGGTTTCCTCATCTGTAGGATGAGTTAATCGACTCTGGGGTGGGAGGGTTAAGATCGGTGTGAACCAAGGGCAATGACCGGAAGTTGGTGATGTTATTGTTCATTGCCCAATATTAACCACTGTAGTTAGACATAAAGTACTAGCAACCAAAGGGGACTTCTTTCTTTCTGCATTGCTAAAACATTGTGAGCGAGCACTCTACCACTGGCCACCGGCCAGCCCCAAAGAGGCTCTTGGGCAGATGCTTCCTAGAGAAGGAAACCTCACTGACTTCTGTTTCTTTTGGAAAAAAAATGGGGTCATTGGGCTGTGGGTGGGGGGGTACAGGGGAGTCACACAGCTGCTCACTACCCGCAGGCCACTCTGAGGAATGTTCTTAGGGGAGAGGTGAACCTTGCTCATGTGGGTGGGGTCTCTGGCAGGCCCTGAAGTGATAAATATACCCAGCGTGACTCAGAGTAGAGCAGTATTGGGAGGTAGCTGCCAGCTGCCAGCAGGTCCTCAGGCAGTATTTCCTAGCAGTTCCTAATCTCCATCCAGGAGTGTGGTGGAGTAGGGCAAGGAGGATGCTAAGTACCTTTCAGGTGAGCTGAGTAGGGTCTAGACAATGAATCCTTTTGTGAGCGGTCCCTGAAGGTAAGAAGTAACAAAAGGAAAACTCAGATCCTGATGGTGGCAGGCTAACTTCCAACTCCAACTTCCCGGAGCCTCCTGTGGTGTCCTGCAGTGCAGTTCCCCAGGGGACACAACACCTCAGGGAGATGCAGGGGAAGGCAAGGGACACAGCTTTGAGTTAAGGGGGTGCGGATTGCCCCCTGTTACCAGAGGGGCGGTTGCAGGGATTCCTGGGATGGGCCCAGGGTACACGCACGCGCGCGCACACACACACACACACACACACACACACACACACACGATTCCTCAAAGTTCTGAGGCACTTGGTCACGGGCACCTTTTTCTTCCAGGTGTGGCAGGTGTGCTTGTGGGACACCCTTTTGACACAGTCAAGGTGAGTCTCTTGTGGAGGTACAGACAAGTTGGGTCAGGCCTGCAGGGTTTCTGCCCCAGGACCTCAGCTTTTGAACAAAGTGACTGCGCCTTCCTCCTGGGCATCTCCCACAGAAGCTGAACTGCCTTACTTGGCCAGCGGAGGCTGAGGTGTTGATGAGCAGGTTTCTTATCTGCCAGAAGGAGAAAGCCTACTCTGTTCTGATGTATAATTTCCCTGGCATCTTCTTTGAATTATTATCGTATTTGTGTTTTGCCTGCATGTATGTCTGTGTGTCATGTGTGTGCCTGGTGGAACTGGAGTTTCAGGTGGGTTGTGAGCAGCTGTGTAGGTGCTGGGAATTAAACCCAGATCTGGGGGAGATCAGCCAGTGCTGTTAACTGCTGTTTGCTGGGTCTCATGAGTAATGCACTCTCTTTAGCCCCACCCCTAACATCTTCCTGAAAGAAAATAAGAGGTGGGAAAAGACAGAAATATAAGGAACC